GGAATTTGCAGCTAGATAGCTCTGTTATGCAGGGCAAAGTCCTTTTGTCACCCAGCTGCATATAGCATGCTGAGGAAGAGGAGTAAGTTTAAAAAGAAATCTCACAGGGAGAATGGAAACGGGTAGTAGGAGAACTGCAAAATGCTAATCTGCACATTTCCTATCATATGTAATGTGTTTCTTTGTTTCTGAAGTCTTCTGGGTAAGGAGACCAGTTCTACTTAATCAGGAGCCACCACCCCATTACAGTTAATACTGTCGCTCTGATACTGCCAAATTTCCAAGAAAACAGCTATGGCTTACTCTAAATCCAATGTAACCATGCACATTCTGTTCCCCAGGACATATTATTGTGGTGGTTGTTGTTCTCCTTGAATGTTGTCCATTTACATCCTGGAATTTCCACCTTTTTACCCACTTACGAAGTTGTTGTTTGCTTTCAAAGTGTTTGTTTTGCAAAGTTTCTGTTTATATATATTTTTATATATACAATGCTTATGCTGCAGGCAGTTGTCATTCATACCAAATGTAGGATATATTTTATCAGTTTGTTTTCCCTCATTTCGGAAGTAGTATTTCTGCCATTCCTTTTTTATTCTTCTGATAGAAGAGGTCCTCCATGGAGTAATCTGCTCTCCAGTGCTGTTTTGCCATTTTATTGGGCAGTTTTTGATTACACATAGTTATCCAACAAGTACTATTTTCCCTAGCTCATATTAAACCTTTGAGTTCAAGTATCCTTATTACATGTGCATTTCACTGCATATTCTGCTGACTTAAAGTGCAGTCTTATCCAAGCTATTTTTAAAACTGGCAACTTGCTGGTTTTCACCAAGTTCTTTATTTATGAGCTTTTGTGTGGCTATGTCATTGGTACAAAACTTTCCCAGTCCTTTAACTCCATCCAGAGGATAATTATTGCTGAGTCTTCTTAACGCAAAAGTTTCATGGCAAGTTCCAGAAGCAGTACTGTTTAAAACAACTATAAACCACAGATTAAACATAAACAACTTTGTGTTAGATGGTATTCATAGAATCACAGAATGGTTTGGGTTGGAAGGGACCTCTAAAGATCACGCAGTCCAACCCCGCTGCCGTGGGCAGGGACATCTTCAACTAGATCAGGTCGCTCAGAGCCCCGTCCAACCTGACCTGGAATGTTTCCAGGGATGGGGCATCCACCACCTCTCTGGGCAACCTGGGCCAGGGTTTCACCACCCTCAGCGTAAAAAATTTCTTCCTTATATCTTATATCCTTTATATCTAAATCTACCCCCCTTTAGTTTAAAGCCATTCTCCCTTGCCCTGTTGCAACAGTGGTATTAGGTTGGTATTGAAACACTGGTATTAAGTGCTGTTAATTAATGGCCATTTTTTAAACATTACCCTTCAGTGAAGCCCCCTTTGATGTACATATTCTTTTTTATCAATGCAGTACAGTTCAGATTGTTCAAAGTTGATCATTTGCAGACTTTCCATCTTTTGGTGTTTGTGAACTGAGAGTGCTGAATCACCCACATACTCCATAACCTCTGCAGAGGCACTCCACAGCTAATACAAACTAGTCTGACTACACTCTGTGCTTTAAAAAAGCATATCTTAAAGCCCCATATTGTACTTCCCTATGGCCTCTTGATATTTTCACAGAACATTTTTACTTTATAAATGCATTAATATAACATAACCTAATTATTGATACATTAATTAACTTGTTATATATTTTATATAATATGGCATAATATGATATAATTAATATACTTAAGAGTTATAAATTATGAACGATCATCCCAGTATTAACATTTATTCCCTTTTAAAGCAGCAGTTCTAGAATCTGTGTCAGTGGACCGGACAATTCCTGAAAGCACCTCAGCAGTGGACACCACAGAGCTTTCCCCATGTAGATCCCCTTCGACACCACGTCATCTCCGCTATCGTCAACCAGGAGGTAAGAACCTGATGTTTCTTGCCTCTATCAGTCCCTTTAAAGAATTTAAATACTGTAGCTGTAATCTTTGCAGGATATTAGAAAAGAATAATTTTTGAATAATGTGTTTTGCTTGTGTTTTCTTTATTTCTCAGGTATTAAAAAAAAAAGCCGTTAGAATGTAAATTATGCTGGTTAATTTGTACAGTAATAACAAGAGACTTGAAAGCATATTGGGACTTGGGTAATATGAAATGTTCTTAAATAGCTCGAGCAGGATGTGCCCAAGTTCAAGACTAATATTGAATCGGTCCTATTGCCACAAAGCTCTAAAGACCTTGATAGATTTTATTTTTCAGCTACTAAGGGGACATATTTTGGGCACCATATGTAATCATGAAATATGCAACACCCGTTATTGTCAATGGGGAGTGACTGTGCCTGTTTCTTTGTATAACACTGAACATTTACAGATGGTGTCACATTATTTGTTCCAAAATTTGAATAAACTGCCCAACTGAAGAGGAAAAGTGAGAGCTGGAGCTCCTCAAATAGCACTCACATGGCTCTTTGAAATCATTAGCAGAGCTGTGAGCTACGTCCATGAACTCTTAAAATGCTGCCATCTCGTGCAAGCCAGATTTCTAGGCAGTTATTTCATGTCTGGGATTAAAACAACAAAAACAGAGCAGAGTCTTCTCAACTGTTAATAAGTTGCTGAGACATTTTAATTTAAACCAATAGTAATCTTCTGTTATTGGGCATGTTTATGGTGAGGTGGCAAGATTTGGAGTTGGAAACTGTGGGGAACAGTGCCATATTATCTGAGTACTAGTCAGAAGCAATGTTCTACAGCACTCCCTATAGAGAAAGCTTGATAAATTGTGCAAAACTGCTCTCATCCTAGGCAGTGACCTGGGAAAATATGTGAATCTTGTTATCAGAAGTTGGTTAATATGCTTAGTTCTCCAATATGATTTTTTGTTTAGGTTAATTTTCTACACCATTGTTTTTGTCTCTTTTTTTTTTCTTCTTCTGTTTGGTTACTGCTTGTTCCTCACCTTGGCAGTGTCTTAGGCATTTTTTTCCATAGCAACATTAATTATACCAACCTGGAAATAAAACTTAAATCACAAATATGATTATGATATTTTTATTTCCCTTAATATAAAGTCCTCTGGCAATGAAAACATAAAATGTTCACAGAGTATAAACATTAGTGAAGATTTTAAGTATTATTGTTGCTTAACTTGAAAAATATGAAAAGTATGTAGAAGTTGTAAACTTCTCTCTGTCTGTTCCCTTTACAGTACAAACTGCTGACAACAGCCACTGTTCGGTTTCTCCTGCTTCTGCTTTTGCTATTGCTACAGCTGCAGCAGGGCACGGGAGTCCACCAGGTGAGAGAAATGTGCTGTACAAAAGAGAGATAACAATAAGATACCTAGGTCTCAAAAGGTAAGTATTTCCTAAGAACATACTTATTTGAATCCTAAATAGCTGCTGATTGGTTACTTTAATCTGCTGGTGGTTTGTGTCTGGAATCCTGCCCGTTGTGTGGACATTGCAGTATGGCATTCACAGATAGTTGGAACCTTGGCTTCCAGTTATGTGGCCGTTACAAAAATATTCGTAATGTAACTGATTAAATTGAAAGTGAAATTGACCCATAAGAATGACTAAAACAGCTTATGACAGACTGTTCAGGTACATCCAGCCCTTCTGCATTTCCTGCTGTGGCAGTCTGGCAATTTGGGCTGATGAAGCAATTTATGTCACCAAAGAGTAAAATCATCTTTTAGGCTGTTTATTTACCACCCTGTCCTGGGGAGTTGCCAGCAACCATTGCCATGTCTACTTGAAAGAAGGAAAGGATGAGAATGTATTCAGAAATATCTTTTAGAACAAAACATGCAACCTAACAAATGAGGACTGCATACTATACCATATACCTTCAAGAAACTCATGTGAGCTTTCTGTCTTGGTTTTGTGGACCGTAAGGAGATTGCCAAACCATTCAGTGAGATTTTGAACTATCGTGATATAAACCAATGATAGCTTTTCTTGCTGACTTAAATCAGAATTACATTTATCACTCCACATTTTCAGTTCATCATCTATTAGTTGAATTCTTGTATTCTGTCCTTAATATTTCTAGTCCAGCCTATTGCTGAAAGATTAATGTTTTACATATATGTAGTATGCTAAACATCTAGATCATATCTTTCTTGTTTTTATTATTTTTTTATTCACTTACAATTTAAGATTTTATTTTGAAAATGAGCCTTTTTATGTCCACGGTTGGTGTACATAACAGCAGTTGTACGTAACTAAATTATTGCAAATGCGTACTGTATATTCCTTGGAAAGCAGCTATGTTGTCTGCTGACTGGAGGTATTTAGCGCAACTTAAAATACTTGATTTAAGTTTTGAATTCGCTTGGTGTCTTGCTGTGTACCCTTTGACATATGAATATCTTGCACTGAGTCCTGTCCCTAGGTCATGTTACAAATAAAAAGCAGCTTTTTTAAAGTCAAAAAAATCACTTTCACTTTGCATTGACACACTCAAACCCACGGTTCATTTTGATTATGTATGATAAAGCATAGTCCAGCTGTAAATTAACACCTGCCTCTTTTCCATCATAACTGTTGGAATGTTAAGAAACTGCTTTGAAGACCCTAGTCTCAAAATCATTCATGAATTTCTATGCAAGTCAGTAAATTGTCGCCATTGATTTCGGTGGATTTTGTATCCACTGTGTCTAAAGTTGTGGTGATTCACTTGATGAGTGAGTAGGCATCATGAAAAAATAATTTCTGGATAAACATGGATCAGTGCTCCTATTACTCGTGTACTTCCTGTGATCTTCAGATGATCACAAGAGAGTAATGTTCAGTTTTAGGAACTTTATGAACCTGACACAAACATGTATTTAGTCAGTTTTTTTGAAATGATGAATATCTTCTGCCTTTGGAATCAGACACTGCCAAGGAATCAGTGACACATTTTGCTTTATGAATTAATTCCAGTACATTTACAAATTGTTCAAATAACGCAGTAAGAGTAAAAAATACTGTTTTTTCCTACTAGGATCAATTAAATTCAAAATTACTGCTTCTATATTGTTCAAAGCACAGCTTTTCAATATTTGTATTTTTGAAGTATGAGAGAAAATAAAATCTACAAGTAATTGAATCAATCAATTGAAGGAATATCAAAGCATGGGGATGTTGAAAAAGGAAAAAACAACATCCCTAATATTCTTAAGTACTTTTCTGTGTTGCTGTTTAAGCTAGTTCTGCATAAAAGGTCATTCTCCTGGGTGATGTAAAAAAAAGCAAGAAGGTCCTGCAGCAAATCTGACAAGAAAAGTGTGTGGTGGGGAGTCTCAGGAGACTGAGCTGGAGCAAGGCTGTCCACCTGTAATAAATATGAAAACGCAAGTCTACAAACCACAGCTTAAACAGCTGAATCACCTGTTTGGTAACTTGATGCAATGAATCATGGTAGAGATGGTATTAAAGTTGCAGAGTCATGCAGTTCAAATTTGGGTAATTCAGATAATTTTATTTCTTCCCCATGTATATGTTATCATAATTATGTGGTTCTTTAAAATAACGCGTTTTTTTCCCAGTGGGCTCCTGTCTCATTCATTGCATAGGATGGACTTGATCCCTCAGTGAATCAGGTCTGGGTGGTGAATGAGATTTATGGCTCTTTTTCTTTTTTCAGTTGGTCCTTGGCCTCACTGCCACAGACATTGTGATGTGTGCCATTTAATATACTCCTACATGGAACATAAATAGAATGGCAGGTGAAATTCAGTGTTGATAAATACTTAGTGATGCATGTAATGAGGAAAAACAGTTTGAGCTCTACAGCTGAAAGGATGGGCTCTGTGCTGGGCATTATTGCTGAGGTCCGAGATCTGACAGTTACAATAGATAGTTCCATTAAACGATCTTAGTGCTCAGCAGAAGCCAAAGAGGTAAAGGAAACATCAGGAATTCTTAGGAAAGGAACAGATAACAAAGCAGAGAAGACCATTGTGCTACCACAGTATAAATCCAGAGTTTGCCGGCATATTGAACCCTATGTACAGTTGCGATACGTCCTGTTTGAGATGAGAGGATGAGAACTAGAGAAGGTTGAGAGTTTGCAATCAAGGATGAGTGGAAGTATAAAACAGCTTCTGTGCATTTGATGTTTAGGGAAGAGATGACTGGGAGGGTTGATGAGAAAGTTCTGCAAAATCATGGATGTCATAGGGAGAGTTAGGAGGCATTTGTTGCTTTTTCTGATGCAAGAGATAGGAGGCATCAGATGAATTTCATGAGGCCAAGGTTCAAAACAAACACAAGTTTATGGTTCTTTGTGCAATGAATAGAAGGTCTGTGAGATTCTGCTGAGGGACATTGTGAAGGGAAGAGACTTACCCAGATTCAAAAAGTGGACAGCTACCTGCAAGCGAGAGCCATTAGTAGTTACTAGACTGGCAAACGAACACGTTCAGGAGCTGAAATCAGGTGGAGGTTGTGGGAGAGTATTAGGAGGTAAGAGTCATCTCTGTGTCTTCTGTTCTCACTGTTCCCTGAAACCTTCTGGCCATTTTGTTTTTTGTTATGTTTTGTTTTGTTTTGTTTTCCGAGGGTATGATTTCTCAGCTCTTCTCAATTTTCCATCTTCCAGTTCTGACTGTTCAGGAGTGCATTGAGGCAAGCAGGTTAACAGACTCATTGGAAAGCCCTGTAGTCACAAACTCTACCAGAACCAGACATGAAGAATATTTAATCATCTCCTCTGGGAAGTGCTGGCCATAACATTTTATAGTTGCTGTCACCACGCAATGATAAGTTTATATATTGATAAGTATGCAAAGCTCTAAACAGCTCTCCCAAGGGCATATGATGGCTTTGCTTATCTTATGATAAGCAACTGGGGGTACGCTGCCTGTGTTGGTCTTGTCTGCAGGCTTCATGACCACAGGTGGCTTGATGGGAAGCCAAAGTTGAAAGACTTTTCAGTACTTTGGTCTGCTTTAGATATTTGTGCACTTTCCCCTTTGGATGCCGCCTGAGTGCAGTGCATGTTGGCAATGTTTTCAGTCTGCTCCATCCCCACTGTGTAGGGATCAGTGCTGTGCTTCAGGGTCCTTGATAGTGTCTTCAGGGCACCCTCCTCTGTTGGGTTCATTTGTTATCTGGGTGCACATGAAGTGCCCATGTAGGACTAGCAGGGCGCTAAGAACAGCTCGTGCTTGGGTTGCCCCACCACACCATATGCTGCACTAGTTTATGAGCTGCTGAAAAGGAGGTGCTGGGCACCATGGTATTGCTCTGCAGCATACGGAGCTTCTGCAGTATATAGAACCTTTCTCGAGTTTATGAGTTATGCTCTTCAGCAGTTCTTTTTAACTTACTGATTTTGGTTCCATTAATTTCAGTTATTTTCCAGGCTTTTATGATGCCGAGCTGTACTAATTGTCCAATTGCTTAGTCCATCTGTCTAGTTAAATATTAATCTCTACATATCTTAAACATGTTTTTGTTTATTCTCTTCCAGAAAATTTGCATATTACTTGTTTATTTTAACAGCATGATAAAGATAAATAGAAATAGGAAGTGAAAGTAAAGAAAGGTAAATAAGGCACCCCATGTGCACAGCTTGGTGCCTGCATGAATGATAATATGCACAGTAGGGATTAATAGAGCATGTTGTGTCTTTTACGTGTCCTTTCTCTTTTGAGGGATGTGAAGGATGGCTGGATGGCTCATGGCTTACTGCAGTTGTAGTGCTCTGTCACCATTAATAGGTTGCTGCACACCTTCATTCTTTTCCCAACTTCTTAAAGTAGGGTAATAATACTAGCACATTCTATCATAGAAATGGACAGGTCAAAGTCATCTTTATTCTGCAGTCTTACAGCTTTCTTTCATTGCAATACAGCTCATTCTTCAGCAAGGGAAGAGAACAAAGTTATGCAAGCATCCTTCTCCAGAGGAGTGAAAAGCATCCAGTTTTCATGACTGGATGTAAACTAGTACAAACTCAGATTGCTGATATAGGGACAAGTATTCTTTACTTATTCTGAATTACCATTTCCCTATTCTCATGACTCTTTGTCATTGCTCCTAGCGCTTCTGTTCACCTACATGCTTCTCAGAGTGGTAGATGAGCCCCGAGCAATCACAAACATATGCCTGCACAGAGGCATCAGTTACTTGATCTGTTTCTTTCCCCACTGTTCATATACCTCTAGAAAATTAGTTCTTAATTTCTGCTTGAATCAGTGACAGCTTCCATAATCAAGACAGAGGTTATCTAGCAGCCCTGTTCCAATGTCTGCCTTACTCTTTTTCCATATAGAAAAGTTCCTATAAAAATGTTAATGTTAAC